TTATGCCTGCAGTATACAAGGCTATGAATATTTTGGTTTTCAGTGTCCTCAAGCAAATAATGTGGGGTGCAATTGCTACAGCAATTCCCGTGTTGGAACAGTAGTGCCTGAAATTGCAGACTGCAATGCTTTGGCGCCAGTGGAATTTTGCAATGCAGATGGCATGAGGGATGGGTTCTCCATGGGAGGCCGCTCTATTGGGTCAATATACAGGCTGAAATTTTCATCTGATTCATCCAGTGATTCTGGTGAGTTGAGTGAGGCGCCATCAATGACTCCATCTGTTTCAGATAAACCAAGTATGTTTCCTAGTAAATTGCCCTCACTTGCCCCTTCAAAGGAGCTGAGTGAAATGCCTTCACTTGCTCCATCGGATATGCCTTCAGCAATTCCCAGTGTAGCTCCTTCGGATCCACCCAGTGTTGCTCCCAGTGGTACTCCTTCAGATTCACCTAGTGCGATACCCGTCACTGAATCACAGTACACACACGTCCGCTACGACTTCCCTCCAACGACCACGGATCTGTTCCTGCACGGATTCTGTGTCAAGGGATCATCGGAAAACGGAATTCAAGTTACATCTTCGAATGAAAATGCCCACTACGAGGTAACCGGCGAATTTGGAGCAGGGACCGTGCTTTTTGGTGACAGGACTTACGTAGCTGGTACTCTTTCCCATCCTACCTCAATGTGCGAGGGCGGGCTGTATGTGCAGCCAAACCTAGTGAAAGACCATCCGAGAGGCACATCGATTTCTTTGAATGTTATGCCCTCCACTAGTGGCCCTGTCACTCTTTGTGCATTTGTGGAAACGCGCGGAGATTCTCGGTCCGGTGGCTGGGATTCTGTTCTGCCAGGTGATGGTTTTACCGAGTCAGATGAATTCAGTTGGGATGGGGGTGACTTACTTCCGCCAGACCACCTTACTGTGGCTAGGTGGTATTGCAAAGCCTTTTCACATGACGAAATAGAGTTTGTTCAACTCGGATGCACAGGATATCACCACGGAGTGATTAGTTACACCATTCKGCCCCTAGTACTATATTATTCCGATGTTAATCCTAATCATTCATCTGGGGATTTTTCAATATATCCTTGTTATGAAGCCTGCCGGGAGCAAGGATATCAGTTTTTTGGCTTTGAGTGTCCATCATCCGGCGAGGTCAGTTGCCAATGCTACAGCAATGTCGTTGTTGGGTCAAGGGCAGTAGAAAACAAAGATTGCCAGTCCTTGGTGCCAGATGGTGCAGCAAATCACTGCACCGGAGATGCCATGATTGATGGTTACTCAATGGGTGGGGCTTCTGTTGGATCCATCTACACTGTAAAGAAGTATGAGCAGCTTGGATGCACTCCATATGATACCCCAGGCGA